TTGGGGGATGAAAATTTTGATTTTGGGGGGAAAGGAGGGCGGCTGGGTTTTGATGAGTTAATTTTTTTTTTAAAAAATGGGCTAAGTATGCTAGGCGAAAATTTCCATCTAAGATATTTGACAATTTTTTTTAAAAAAATTAAATATAAAAGAATCGTCTATTTTGCTATCTTAGACGGAAATTTCCGTCTAGGATGTTTTAGCCTAGACGGAAATTTTCCGTCTAGTTTAATAGCAAACTAGATGGAAATTTTCTGTCTGGTTTAATAGCAAGCTGGACAAAAAAATTTTCATCTAGAATATTCCGTCTAGGATACGTGATTTTCTACTAGTGCATAGATGTCAAATTATTTAGGTATTTCCACAATGCACGAATTAATTTTTAAAACGTGGTGAGAGATTTTATGTTCTGCTGGCGTTTATAAAAACTAAAGACAGATCTCCACTAAAATTTGAGATAATTTGTTCATGTCTAAAACTATGAATATTTGTCAAATTAATTGATAAAGAAGTGGCCTGTGGCCCCATATCCTAATTAACTATAATCTGCTGTGGATTTCAGATACGAGAAAAAAATTAGCTGGAATAAGAGGAGGGGGGAAAAAGTAAGATTATTATTCTTAAACGATCAAAAATTTTAACCCTACGGTTAAAAATTCCCACCCAGCACCTTTACCACACTCATTCCCTTCACGCTCACGCCGCATTTTACCTTCCACCTTCTCCCCCCATCCGTACAGCACACTCCCGCGCGTGCCTCCTTCGGGAAAACACACGCCGTACTCAAAATTCCCAACCCACCCTTCAAACTCTACCTTATCAACCGCCTAATAACCACAAACTCAACGTAGATCAGTAGCAAATACAAGGGCAAATCAGTCCAAAGAACCATTTCAAAAATTATGCTCCCGATAATCTCGACAATAACTCAGTCTCTATAAATCCTACTAATTGGATCCCTAATCACAACCCCTAACCGAACGATGCCCCCCAAAATATCCACTCTCATCACCACCACTCTCCTCCTCCTCATCTCCACCGCCGCCGCCAAGTCCGAGTGCGACACGTCGGCTCGCGGATCGGCGTCTGCCTACCGCTATTCTCCCGCTCAGTGCCGGCCCTGAGGCCCGGCGCCAACATTTTCGTGCTCGTCAAGGCGTTCGCCTCCGGCGTGATTCTTGCTACGGGGTACATGCACGTGTTGCCCGACTCGTTCGATGATCTGCATTCGCCGTGCTTGCCTGAGAACCCCTGGAGGAAGTTCCCGTTCACGACTTTTGCCGCGATGCTCTCCGCGTTGGTCACGTTGATGATCGATTCGCTTATGATGGCGAGGTTCAATATAAGGCATAGCTGTGGACCTGCGTCGGTTGTGGATCACGAGAGTCAGAAGAGTAAAGAGATTGTCGCGGCGAACGGAGGTTGTAAGGATTTGGCACAGGATCCGACGATCGCTAGGCATCGGATTGTAGCGCAGGTGAGCCAACATTTCTGATATTTTTGTTGTAATTTTGGAAGCTTTTTCATTTTCGATTTTATTTATTTATTTTGTGGATGAATTTTTTTAGGTTTTGGAAATGGGAATTGTGGTTCATTCTGTGGTGATTGGGTTGTCAATGGGGGCATCTCAGAGTTCTTGTACGATTAGGCCTTTGGTGGCTGCGCTTTGTTTTCATCAGCTCTTTGAAGGAATGGGTCTCGGTGGTTGCATCCTACAGGTAAGGCTGTCTTTAATTTTAATTTCATCTACGTATTTTACTATGCAGTTATTTTTATAGCATGTACAGTTTGTTCAATCTTTTCAAGTTTAATAGGAAAGTTTTGAAATGGTTAGTACTGGCTACTATTGATTAAAAGTATTTTGATCATATCCTCATTAATTACCATCTTGAAACCTCAAGCTGATCATAATATAACTAACAGCAGACCTGACATTAATAACTCACTTTAATGCTATACCGAGGTTAAATATAACGCGTGATTTTCTATGGACGTCATTCATAGCCCGCTTACTTATAGAAATCGTACTATATATACTCTAAATTATATGTTACAGTATTAGTTTGTTCAATTACTGACACAAACTGTGCGCGATGTTTTAATTACAGGCGGAGTACGGGTTAAAGATGAAATCAATCCTGGCCTTCTTCTTCGCGACTACAACCCCATTCGGCATTGCGCTTGGAATAGCACTGACGAACGTGTACAGCGACAGCAGCCCGACAGCCCTCATCGTCGAGGGATTGCTGAACGCGTGCTCGGCTGGGCTGCTGAATTACATGGCGCTTGTTGATCTCTTAGCTGCAGATTTCATGGGTCCTAAACTTCAGAGCAGCATCGGGCTCCAGTTGTGGTCGTTTGCGGCAGTGCTCTTTGGCGCTGGAGGCATGTCTCTCATGGCTAAATGGGCCTAATATAAGCTAGTTAATTGAATTGTTAGGTGTATCTAGACACTGCTAAAAAACGGAGTATCCTAGACAGAAAATTCCGTCTAGAAAAGTCAATCATCATTATGACTTGTTTAGATCATGAATAGATCGAGAGATTAACATTTTTTTTCTATTTTTTGGCTAGTAAATATAGTTTAGATTGGGATTTTTTTAACGGTTGCGTGTAGCTGTGATGCAGGGATAAATTCACTTCATATTTCAATAATGATTGATTTATCATTTTGGGGTTGATTATGACTTGTTCTGAATATAGAACAGAAATAAATATGAATACATATATGTGAAGGTACAATGATATAGTTATATTTTCAATGAATTATAAATGAATACTTATTGGAAATGGCCTTTTCTATTCTAAAGAAAAGGAAACATCGTACTTCATTTCTTTATATCATATCATATCTGTTGATGCTCGTAAACAAACAGTTGATGAAGGTTTCCCGCTGTCAGATGCAGCTGCTGTCCTAGCGACGGTGGGGAAGAAGGAGAGGATGAATGTTGGGGCCGACTCTTCCTTCGACTTTATGCCCGATTCTGAGCGCGCGGGGTGGACTGATAGCTTGCACATGCAAGAATCGCAGGAATACGAGACTAGTTTTTCCCGTGATACCTCCGGCGGTCAAGTCAGCTGATGAACTTGGGGAGGGTTCGTTGAGAGGCCCCTGGGCCATTGAATCCTTGCCCGGGGGTTTAGTTGCTGGAAGTACTAAAAATACAAAAGAAGGAGAAAAGCTTAGGTGCCAAAAGAAGTTGCCAACCTCCTTCGCCTTACCTTCCTTACCTCCCTTTATAGCCCACTTGCCTCCTGGAGTTTGACCCTTGGTTTTTATTGACTATGCATAAGAGGCGGTTTGAAAGGTGGATAGACAGACGGCTGAGTCATCTTTCTTCCTCCAGGTGTCGGCAGGCGACTGTGAGGGAAGTCACTCGGTGTCAGTGGAGAGAAGTCTTCTCAGTGCTCTGGGTTTGTCAGATTAGGCAGGGTGTAGGGTAGGTCGGCTGTGTGGATGTCCTTCTTTCTTCAGGTGGCGGCTGGCGATTGGAGGAGAAGTCACTCGTGCACAGGAAAACATTATGGCGATCTTCTGGGAAATGACTTGTAAGTTGAATAAACGGCTCGTGCTGGAGATCCTTGTCAGAGCGTATATCTTGATAGGACTGGTCAATGCTGTAGCTTTGAGTGACATTTGGAGTGATCCCGGTCGGATCTTATCCCTTTAGTCAAGACAGGCTGATCCGTGAACCATCGTTATAATTTGGTGACTCGACAGTCGAGTGGACTTCGGGTCAGGCGCGTAATCGAGTCGTCTGCTCTAGGAGTCGTCTTAATTGCGAGGGAACGACTGATCTCGTTTTTCGAGTCGGCCATAATGACCTGTCGGTCGGAATAAGGTTTGTCTGCTCATCTAGTCGATGAACCTAGCTCTGACTGTACTTTTGAGCCTCTAAAGTTGATTCGGACCATTGCTCGCTTGGGCTTATGCATGTATTCTTCTGATACTCCTATTTTGGTGCGATGAATGATCGTAACAATATCATACTCCATTTAAAACCACGAATTCGGAAAAATCTTTCGGTTGACAAAAATACCATTGGAATTCAAATAATAATCCATTAAGAAAGAGTAAGTTGATAAATTGATGAATTTGTATTTAATATACATAGTATGAAGATGATGATATAGATTTGTTATGGTGTCTAAGTGCGACCATTTGCTAGCAGCGGATAGTTGTACATCTGCATGCAATGTCCTAATCAAGTTGGTGGTCGAAGACCAATAAGGATGACAACTCAGCCGACTCGCCAAGTCGACATTCCCTCTGTAGGCGTCAAAAAAATGCTCAAAGGTATCCAAACACAGTTCAAAAGGAAGTCATCCAAAATGTCAAAAAAGAACACAAGTATAGACTGTCTCGCAGGCGAGACAGTCTTTACTGTCTCGCCCAC